ATTGTTTAGAAAAATAGTTTCGATGAGGAGATCCTAGCTATTACATTTACTCTGTCATGCAATAGTTGTTAATTTATCATATGCTTATTGTCAGTGTTTTTAATTTATGCATATCTCTGTTACCGTTCAAGAGGTGTATGAGCCGTACTATAAATGCGCAGTGAAATCAGTGTTAATGGCCTGTTTAAACTTTTTGGCTAATATTTACGCCAACTTAAAGTTAACAGCATTGGGTAATTCATACTCAAAATGAATCATTTGGGCTTTTTTTCTTCACGTTCTTTAAGTTTGGATAGTCACTTAGACTCAGCTCTTAGCATGTTTTGTAAGTGCCAGATGCTATTAAGGGACATTGTCTTAAAACCTTCAAGAAGCATTTCTTGGCTAGGGATAACTCAGTGGTAGAATGCTTGCCTAACAGGCATGAGGCCCTGATTTAATCTCCAGTACTAAAAGAAAAAAAATTGTTTTCTGTTCTATTTTATTATACAGACCCAGATGCTATAAAACTTCCTTTGGATGTAGATTTTTTTTTTTTTTTTTTAACCAGGTCTTGAAAGTTTCTTCAGTGAGGTTTTATTTATTGCCCTTTCCTGTGAAATGTTGATAGGACAGACACTAAGTCCATCTAGCCTCCGCTATACTTGTTCTTCACTGTACTATAAAAAACTCTTCTTTCTTCATCCTCATCCAAGCGTTTTCATAATTTTGATCATCAAGGTTAACTTCAGCAAACATGGAATGCTAGACAATTTTTAGCACTCTTAGCTGTATATTTCTATATATGGGTAGATGATTTGTGGACCCTAAAATTTTTTTCAAATTAGGTATTTTCCTCTTTAAAGGTTTGATGTTAAGGCACATCTGTTAGAAAATCCTTGGTAAGTAAGTATAGTGCCTCATATGACATCTGTGTATTTGATTTTTATCTAGTTAGAAAAGATTAAAATCGCATAAACTTTATTTGCATAAGATTTTCAAAAAACTTAAATTTTTCTACTAACTCATGAAATGTTCACTTTATAGTAAACTAATAAATCTTAACACCTGAATCCAAAAAATCCTAATTACCTTTTTGAAATACTTGGTATGAGCCAGGCATGGTGACACACACTTGTAATCCCAGGTACTTGGGAGGCTGAGGCAAAATGATTACAAATTTGAACCCATCATGGACAACTTAGACCTCGTCTCACAAAAGGACTGAGGAGAGTAGCTCAGTGGTAGCATGTATGAGGCCCTGGGTTCAGTCTTCAGGATAGATGGAAAACTACATATGGTACTCCTTTGCAAGGCAAGATAATGTGTTATCACATTTTTAAAAAGTAGTTTAAAAAAGTTTGCTTTTAGGTGACTTTCTAAAGCAGACTTTTAAATTTTTTTTTATTTTGTTGGTCTTTTTGAGACAGGGTCTTGCTATGCATTTCAGGCTGGGCTTTAGCTCACTTTGTAGCCCACGCTGGTGTTGAACTCACAGTGGTCCTGCCTCAGCCTCTTGAGTGCTGGGATTACAGGTGTGCGCCACACGCCCGGCTGTCAAGCAGATTTGAGTGTGCTATGAAAAAGTCAGTTTCTGAGCAGTGTGTTCATAGTTTGAGGCACTTAGCTGAGTCACCTCTCCTCCTTCTTCTCAGCATTGAGGACAGCGATGATGACAGCAAGATGGCAGATCTCTTGTCCTACTTCCAGCAGCAGCTCACGTTTCAGGAGTCTGTGCTCAAACTCTGTCAGCCTGAGCTCGAGAGCAGTCAGACTCACATATCAGGTATGGATTCTGAGCTTGCACTCCATAAGAAACACTTTAACCTTAGGTTGAATTTTTCTGCACTTCAAAACTGAAATAATTTGTCAGATAATTGCTGCCTAGTTCACAATAAGGAGAGAGATCGGGTTATAACTACTGTTTATACTAACAAGTTTTTCAAATCAAGTGGAGCAGCCGTTGTAATGCAGTTGTTGAAGGATGCAGACTTCTCAGTGAAGTTGAGTCGAGTTGCTGAGGTACCCTGAGAAAACTGGAACACAGCTATCATGACTTACTCAACCAAGGGGAACAAGAGTCCCAAGACAGGACTCGTGTTTAGAAATTAATGCTGCTATATGTTGAATGTTGTTACACGATTTTCAGATGAGGACAGTTTAAAGGTTTTAAAAAGATAAAAGTAACTTGTTAATGTTAAATACAATATAGAACATACATATAGTAAATTATTTTAGTATGTCTTGGTGATAAAATAATCTTGCAAAGGAAAAGTACTTCATATAAGTAACTTCAAATCTATTGTATAGTAAAAAGTAGATCATGGCATCATGATGTTAGAAAACATTGGTACTGGGTAGCTCAGTAGCTGTGAGCAGTATTGAGAGTATCTTTATAAATTTATGAGTGTACACACCCTGAGAATGTGCTTGTGACAGTAGGGTGCCATGGGGGAGACACCTTGAAAGATGACTTTCTTTTGCAGCACTGCCCATGGAGGTCCTAATGTACATCTTCCGATGGGTGGTGTCTAATGACTTGGACCTTAGATCATTGGAACAGTTGTCACTCGTGTGCCGAGGATTCTACATCTGTGCCAGGTACTTGCTTTGCTTTTCAGTAACTCAGGCAGTGGAGAAAAGGAGTATGAGGGGGTTTTTTTGTTTTGTTTTCTGTTTTTGCTAAATTTGTGAAATAACTCCGTTGTTAAAAGCTTAACCTGAACAGAAGTATTGCAAGGCTGTACTATAACATGATCTTTTCAAATAACTTAGCATTTAAAGATTCAAATGTGCTGTTTCCAGTGTACAGAACAATATGTAAAACAGATGCAGTCATATATACTGCTTCCATTGAGTTTTCATATAAGCTTAGCCAACGTGGAAAGAAGAATTATATTAGAAATATACAAGCTGGGCTTGGTGCATGCCTCTAATCCCAGTACTTGGGAGGCTGAGGCAGTCACTATGCTGAGGATTGCCAAGAGTTTGAGGCCAGCCTGGGTTACATAGTTAAGGTCAGTCTGAACTACATAGTGAGATTTTGTCTCAAAAACCACTACTGCAAAAAAGAGAAGAAAACGAAGCAAGAGATATATATATATTCAAGCTATTTTTACAGTAACTCTAAGTCCATTTGTGGTAATGATTTAATTTAGATTGCAGTGGACTCTTCTTTTGGCCCCTTAAAATTTACTCTATTCCTTTAAAATTTTACTGTGTCAAAAATAATTGTAATTTAATATAAAATTATTTGAGACTGACCTTTCATGGGTTTCTTGTTTAAAATATATATATAATTTATATATAAATTATAAATATATAATTTAAATTATAAATTTGTAATTTATATAATTTAAATTATAAATATATATATAATCTTTACCATGTAGAATATTTTGTATAACTTTAGTTGTTAAACTCAGATCCTTTTTTTTTTGTACTTCAGGCTGGCCTGGGGACTCACTGTGTAACCTAGGCTGGCCTCTAACTCAGGGAAATCCTGCCTTGACCTCCCCAGTGCTGGGATGACAGGCATTCACCACCATGCCCCACTAGATGCATTATTTTAAACAACTTAATTCCATTTGGAATCTGACATTTTGCACACAGTATTGTATTTTATTGAATTGCTTGAATTCTTTGTTTTTGATTTTTCTGTGTGTTAGTCTGTTTAACATATACCTGTAAGCATCTATTGGATTGCTGTCAGCCTTTTGAAATTAAGGTTTCTAGCAGTTGTTCCATTCTTTTTTTTTTTTTTTTTTTTGGTTTTTCTCCGGTACCGGGAACCGAACTCACGACCTTGCGCTTGCCAGGCAGGCGCTTTGCCACTGAGCTAAATCCCCAGCCCCTCTGAGCTAAATCCCCAGCCCCTGTTCCATTCTTTATACATCCGAAAATGTAAAGGATTTGGTTAAGAAAGGTTATTTTGGTTATTTTCAGGAATAAAATGTTACATCATCATAAAACAACATATTTTTAGGAAAAACTTAAATACACATTTCAAAACATATATGCTTTGATGACAATCATCTTTTCCAGTCTGACAAGGGTATAAGTGGGTTTTACTTCTTTAAAACTGAGTATTTTAAGTTATAGATAGAAATTTAAATACCTTAGCTGTAGAGTCGTGTCACATCTTTTGGTTTGCGTTTTTCCCATACTCCATGACAAAGTTCTGCTGCTGCTACCTGTGAAATGTGTTTCCAGTTTACCATCTTCCCACTTCTGTAACTGCTGTTCTGACTCAGCCACCATCCTGGCGGGACTGAACAATGCAGTGGCATCCAGCAGTTTCCCGCTTCCATCCATGCCCTTAGAACACAGTCTCTGTAAACCACCAGAGTAGTTTTTTTGTTTTGAGTTTTGATCTTTTCTAAAATAGCAGGGAAAAACTATACACATTTCTTATGTATAACAGGGTGTTTTAGACCATATCTACTTTGTGGAATGGTTCCAGCGAGCTAGTTAGTATGTAGCACCTCACATGGTTATCATGTTGGTTTTGGATTTTCTGTTTGTTTCATGATGCTGGAGATTGAGCCCAGGGCCTGTGCCTTTTAGGCAAGAATCTTGTCACTGAGCCACATCACCAGCCTCTTAAAAATTTACCTGCAAGAGTGTCCTTTTAAATTGCCTAGGGTAGCCTCAAAGTTACTATCTTGCTTCACAGCCTCCTGAGTAGCTGGGTTTTATAGGCGTGGTCCCCCATGCCTGTCTTTGTGTATTTTAAGTTACAGATGGAGTTTTAACTATTTTGAGCTGTGTCAGAATCTTGTCAATTTTCAATACATTTTGTACTTAACATTTTGCACTAATTCTATAACAAAGTTCTGTTTTTAGAGAATACAGTATTTCATTACCTGTAGTCACTGCTGTACAGTAGATCTCATTCTGTACTTCTCTGAGACCTTTTTTGTTAGGTTTCACATAGAAGGGAAATCATGCAGTACTAGTCTTGCAGTGCCTGGCTTGTTCCCCTTACCGTAACGTGCTCTGGGTTCATTCATATGGTTGTAAGTGCCAGGATTTCAGTTTTTTCTTGACTGACTCATACTCCACTATGTAGGTACAGTATACTACATTGTTTTGTCCATTCACTTGTTGATGGACACCAGATTTATTCCGTGTCTTGCTTGTTTGAACATGCACGTGCAGTAACTGTTCGACATTCTGATTTCAGTCCTGTGGATATGTAACCTGTAATGGACTGCTGGGTCATACAGTAGTTCTGTTCTAATATTTTCAGGAACCTCCCAGCACTTTCAGTAATGACTGATTTACTTTCTCACCGACAGTTTGTAATGAATCCTTCCTCTCCATATCCGTGCCAGTGCCTGTTGTCTTTTTGCTCGGTGATTGCCGTTCTGGTGGGAGTAACGTGGTTGTTCATTCTGGTTTCATTTTCATGTCCCGGTTGGTGATACTGAGCACTCTTTACATATACCTGTTGGACATTTATGTGTCTTCTCTGGAGAAATGTCTATTCAGGTCTTTTACCCACGTTTTAAATTGAATTCTTTTCTTGCTGTTGAATTGAATTTCTTACATATTTTGGATATTGATCCCTTATCAGATGTATAGTACAAATATTTTCTCCCGTTCTGTATATGGCCTGCACTTGGTTGGTTGCTTCTTTTGCTGTGCAGAAATTCGTGAATTTTACATGCGGTGTCATTAGTCTTTCTTAGTTTTTGTTTCCTGTGCTTCTGAGGTCTTATCCAAAAACTACTTGCCCATTCCAGTCTCCTGAAGTGTTTCCTTTATTCTTGCCTCTTCTGGTTGCTCTTGCCTTATTTTACCTCGTGGGTGTATGCACTCCTTTCTTTTGGACTCCATTTACGTGGCCTGCCTTACTGTGTCTTCACGTTCAGTCCCAGGGAGTCATGAGAGGTGCGGTGAGCTCCCTGTTGAGCACTATACAGTTGGATCTTGCTTTTTATCCATCAGTCACTCTCTAACTTTAATTGGATGATTTCATCCATTACATTCAGGGTAATTATTGATAGGTAAGTTCTTACTACAGCCACTATCAACTCGCTTTCTACTTTTGGTGTAGTTCCTCTTTTTTCTTTCTCTCTTTCACAGTCTTTCTTTCTTAAGTGATTTACTCCAGTTGTGTTTTTTGGTTCCTTGCTTATATTTGGTTTGTGCGTTATAGGTTTTTGCTTTGCAATTACCAGTGAAGCCTAAAAGCAATCTTTTGATTATAACAAGTTTTTGTCTCTTGTTTGGTTTTTTTGAGTCAGGGTCTCACTGTGTAGTTTAGTGGCCTTAAACTTGCGGAGACCCTCTTGCCTGAGCCTCCTGAGTGCTGTATTTCTAGGTGTGCGGCAGCACACCCACCTTGAAATGGTAGCAATTCACCATGGTCACGTAGTCAATAAGAGCAGAAACAAAAGAACAAGAGAAAATGTACTAAGAAAAATACTTTCTACTTGCACACCATTCCTCCCCACAGTTTGAATTTTTATATCCTATTTTACATCTTTCTATTACATATTTTTTGACATATTAATGTAATTGTTGTCTTATTGGGTTTTTTTAGTCCCCATAGACTAAAGATAGGAATCTTTAGTCCTAAAAATATGCATGGTTTACTTACCATGCTTGCAATATTAGAGCGTCCTGAATTTGTTTGTATAATTACTCTTAACCAGTGAGTTGCACCTCCCTGTGTTATCTTCCTTCTTCCCATCTCTTTCACTTGAAGAACTTCCTTTAGCGTCTCTTTCATAGTCTCTCAGCTTTTGTTTTTCTGGGAATGCTTTTATCGCCCCTTAATTGCTAAAGGAGAGCTTTACTGGGTACAGTATTCTACAGTTCCTCAAGTACTGCACTGTGAATATCTTACACTCTCCTGGTCTTTACGGATTCTGCTGAGTCAGTTGTCGAGAATAAGGACACCCCTGTGTGTTGTTTCTTTGCTCTCTTGCAGCTCTGAGAGTATTTTTGTCTTTTACCTTTGAGAGTAAGATTACAAGATATATATTTTATTCATTCATTCATTTACTTATTTATTGATTGATTGATTGATTTGTCTTTTTGAGGCTGGGTTTCACTGTTCAGTTCAGGCTGACCTTGAACTCACTTTGTAGCCCAGGCCTCAACTCACAGCAATCCTCCGTGTGCACCACCACCCCCAGCTGATAAGATTTTTTTATTATAAGATTTTTTGAGTTTAGTTTTTTGGGTTAAGATTGGTGACCTTTGACTTTCCTATACTTGGATATTTGTTTTCTTCTCTAGGCTTGGGAAATTTACTGTTAGTAAGCTAGGTTTACACCTTTGGTATTCTCCAGTCCTTGAATGCCAGTAACCAGAGATTTGCTTTTTTAATACTGTCCAAATTTCCCATTCATTTGCTTCATTCCTCTTTTTTTCCCTCTCCAACTGTGTATTTGTAAATAGTCTGTCTTTAGGCTCACTAATTTTTCTTTTTGATCTGTCCTGCTATTGATGTCTTCTGTGTTTTTTGTTGTTGTTGCTTTGGGGGACTTTTTGTTTTGCTTTGCTTTTGTTTATTTAGTTTGGCTTCCTTTGTGTTTTGCTTTCATTTTTGTATTGCTGGGGACCAAGCTCGCACCTCTTGTATGTTA